TAGCCTTCGGAAACGCGCGTTTGTCGCGCAACTTTTTTAAACGCGCGACAGACGCGCATATGCAATATGCCTAGGTGTGAACGAGACCTAATGCTGAAGGTGTGTCTGCTTACTTGAAAGAGATGTGTGTAGTATTGTCATTGATATAAATCACTTTGCAGAAGTATGTTTTCACTTCTATTACAGAATACATTTCTATTGATCAGAAAATTACATTTACCGATTTAATGTTCCATGACCATAAATCACGTAAGCTTCCAATGGGGTGAATGCTTCTTATAGGCACTGTATAATCCAATGGGTAATGTATCTCCATTTGTCATCGATATCCTTCATTGTAAATTGTTTGCTTATCTGTATTGGAAATGTGGGAGGAGGAAACATGGATCCACTTTTAAATCACATTTGTACTTGGTTTATGGTAGCATATGCATGCCTAATAAGTTATGCTTTCACTGGAGCAGGGCCAATTTCACTAGATGATGCTGCGTCTTACCTGCAGAGTGGATATGTGTGCTGTTCAGGTTGTAGGTTGATCTGTGCCCTAGCCTAGGCTAAAGGTCGCTCCATTCAAATTGTCTTCCCACCAGGTCCATAAGAAGGTGCAAGGTGGCAGAACGACTTTCCTAATAAATCCCAAACTGCCCTCACCAGCTCAGACCATCACTCACCCTGTCTTTTTCAGTTCCGCACTACTGGACTGGGGGAGGCACCTCCGCCTCCCTCAATGCCTTGAGAATTATCTATAAGGAAGTTGTAAATCAGACACTTACATATTATAATTATACACAGCAAGCCAAATTCTTAAGACAAATAAGTTATTTTATTAAAACGAAAAAAATAAAAATAAATGCAAATTCTCAGAAGTGTTTCAGCAATTTCATTAAATAAATCCAACTCTATACTTCAATTGATCCAACTGAATCTTTAAAAAAGGATTACTTTATAATGCATACAAATTTACTTCTCTTGTAAAAAAGGCACCTGTTTTAGGTTCTTGAAGCCTTATTGGGCCCTTGTTATTTATTACTATGAGGTGGTGATTTCAACTCATCCTCATAGTTAGAGCCAACCTGTGAGAAAAGAAGTTGTCACAGGTCGGCTCTATTGATCGGGAAGTGAGCAGAAACATGCAGCCGATCCGCTCACCTCCCTGCAGTGAGCGTTGACTGTCAGTCATGGCTCCCTGCAGGGATTCCCCTCTCCTATCCTCCAGTGCTGAGTGGAGGAATGGACGAGGGAAGGGGTGGGCACAGCTGGCTCTGCCTCTAGATAGGCAACGCCCACTTTCACTCACACAGCTGGGTGGATCCAGACAGTATTGTCGGGATCTGTCCCGGCTGTGGCGCTCTCAGTATATTGCAGGCAATAGCTCGCTATATGCTGAGCTTTGGGTCACGGGAGGTTAGTATATGTCCTCCTGTGACCCTAAAGAGAAATATGGGGAAACACTTACCCCCTAGTTCTCTTTTAACTCTTGCTGCAGAAGTTAGCAATGTAAGCTGCATTACAGTAATAAGGGCTCAACTGGACTTTAATATCAGAATATATAAACATATGATGGAGTTAGGACGTGTAACTTTGTATTTATTACTCAAATTCACTTTTTTATTGCTATGTGTAGAAAGCTTGTTCAGAAATGCGTGTATGGGTTATCAGCACAAGTTGTAGCTATTTGGTTCACCAAGTTACAGGTTATGTAATCTAAAATCTATATGATCAATCTCTCGTCAAAAAGAAACCATTTCTAAATGCAAAGTGTGTGTCTATATCCATGTGTCACTTCCATTGGTAGCCGATACTACATTCCCTCTAAACTAGACCATGTGAGCAGCATTAGTAAGATTTACTACTCGTGAACGACTCACACTTTGGTAAACTTTGCTGCTTTGGTCAAATCTTCTTTTGGATAGTCTGCGCCAAATATATTACATCGCTTATATAACAATTGTATAGATAAATATCAGTAGCTTCCATTATAAAAGTTCTGCTTTGCAGTCCCCAAAGGCAGTACATTCTCTTATAAACCCCAGAAATACATATTCAACACTGCAATCCAGAATGTTCTATCAGCTTGTTTTTTTCTACATGTACACTATCTGTATTCAAACTGTTATAACTATTACAATAGCCACACCAGATAATATATAGTAGAAGACAAATGAAGATCTGTAAATGGCAGTGGGTTATGGATATGAAAGAAAGTTGATTTGTATTAATAGAACCGATACACAAACTAGGACTGGTCAGTGAGTACAGTTGATGGGTTGGGCATATTGGGCACACTGACACCCCTGAGTGCAAGTGTAGTGCATTAAACAAAATTCTACTTCCAACAACTTTGGAACCATTTCCAACAAAGTGCAATTCCAGAGCATGTAAAGTGCAGAGGTATGAATGTACCCTTGGCCAGTGACAGAATTGCCAAGTCAACACACCTTCTATGGCAACCTTTCTCAACCAGTGTGCCTCCTGGCCATCTCAGGGGGAGTGGGACTGTGATGTGAAGGGGCAATAAATAACTGATGTGAAGATGGGCTACAATGTAAAGGGGGGTGGGGCTTGATTTAAAGGGGGCACCCCATTTGTGTTTTTGCATGAGGCACCCCAGTCTAAAATGTAATAGATTTTAAGGGGGACCCCCAAGATTTTGCATACCTTTAAATGGTGCAGTGACTAAAAAGTAGGCGGAGAAAGGCTGTTCCATGGCACTGCTGCTGAACCAGCGGGGTATCACTTCAACTTTTTTTTTTTGCTTGCAGTTGACATTTTGCGGCATCTACAGGAATGGCAGCAGTTGCATTTTGGAGAGTGTGCTGCTGCAAGGTGTCACCAGCAGCAGAAATGTCAGTGTGACATAGTTCTTCGTATTAAGATACTCTGTCTCCTCATGGAGACAATAATAATTAATGGAGATTAATTTATCTGTGGATGATACTGTGCAGGTCCATTTGACTTCACACTTGGGCTTGAAGTGATGCTCAGGCCATGATAGAGATGCATTATGACACTCTGATGTTAGTTTGTATGCCGGCCTCACTGTTGAAAACAAAGACAAATATAAAAACTGCAATAGCCAACTTGCTTTAAAGTGACACTAAACTCAAGGTAAATCCTAAAAATACATTCAAGTACCCTAACTATTACACAGATAAGATACATTTTTGGTATCACTCGGCTGTAGATCCTCAAATCATCTCTGAATTGGTGCTGACACTGTCCTTCCTTCTGGAGGGGGGCCCATGGTGCCTGTGTGTGTTGTAAAGTAGTCACCGCTCCAAGCTCCCTCCTATGGTAGACTACAATTTCAATACAAATTGGTAGACTAAACGTGAGATTGTAGTCCATGATGGGAGTGAGCTTGGAGCGGTGACTACTTTACAACACACACAGGCACCATGGGCCCCCCTCCAGAAGGAAGGACAGTGTCAGCACCAATTCAGAGATGATTTGAGGATCTACAGCCGAGTAATACACAAATAAGATACATTTTTGTTAATAGTTGAGATACTTGAATGTATTTTTAGGATTTAGCGCCTGAATTTAGTGTCACTTTAAACAATACAAGCTCCAGGGCGGTCACCCTCATCCTTAAGTGTCACTGATTAAGAACAAATATGTAGAAGCATCTTCACTGGCTGCATGTTTGTGGCTGAATGACTGACTAAATAATAGAGTAACAATGCGCATAGCTGTGGCGGAGTTTGCACCTTCAAAAAAACAAGTTGCCATTAGTATTTCATCTATTTCTATCCTATAAAAGGTCTCTCCCCATTAAAGCAGAGTCAGGCAGATGTTTTGCCACACACAGCATTTCCTGGAGCAGACCACACTGTTCCTAGGAGCGGGAATCACAGTATAATGTTTCCTATGCTGGGTTTTGATTGTTCTGCTTAACACAATCAAATGTTAAAGAGCAGAATTTATCAAACCTGGAGCAGACAAAATCTGGAGCAGCTGTGCATGGCAACCAATCAGCTTCTCTTATTTTCAAATCTCAGCTGAACAAACTGAGGAGAGAAGCTAATGGCTGCCATTGGCAACTGCTCCAGATTCTATCTGCTCCAGTTTCAATAAATTCCCCCCCAACGTGTTTTAATAAAGAAAACAGCAGCCTTTCAAAATGCTTCTATGCTCTTACAATAGGAATTTACTTTAGTAAGAACCTTCATCTTTGTCTTGTACTACATAATTCCTAGGGAAATAGTGCATGTTAACAAGTGAAAGCATCGAACGCCAAAACAAAAAATGTCATATATTGCACACCTACAGTGGTGTCTGCATTCATTTTCAAGTACAAAATACCTCTTGCCAGAAATGCGCAGAAAACAGTTGTTATCTAAGCCCTCTGTTCACACTACAATGCGGGTGTGATGGGCAGTGCACTGCGTAAAAATGAAGCATCCAAAATGTAAACCGTGGCAGCTGTGGCCCTGTGCAGACAGCGCTCACTGCCAAAGCTGCCACAACGCACTAGCCCGCCAGCTAAAACGCAGTGTTTAAGTGAACGGACTACGGTGGACAGGGCCCTTAATGTTTAGGCGTGCAATATAAATACACAACCGCTTTCTTCAATATAATCAGCTTACTTTGTGCCCTCTCCCCTTTTCTGATGAATTTCCCCACTTGGCCCCCTTTGGTCAACGCTCATATCTTTAGTTTTAATTAGTGGCTCAAACTGGTTTCCCATCAACATTTTTTCTCTTCTGTTCCTTGAAGGACACAGCGAAGATCTTGAATCTCTAACTGTTGGGTTATAGCACCACTATCAGGAGCAAAACACTGGGCAAAAAAACTAAAGCACAGCCTAGGGGTGGCCAAAACCCCCATCTGTTAAAGGCAGTACAGTTTTTCTAGTGTGAAGACGTAAAGATCTGAGCTCCCTGGTGGGAATCTTAGTTCTCTTTTTGTGATTTGCAAGTTTCTAACCAAGCAGAGTAGCCCATGCCACACCAAAGGAGAACAGGTAGGAAGATACATGTATGTATAAATGAAGACGTTTAGAATAGTGGTTTTGTAAGCTGTTGGAAGGGTTATGGTAAATGAGGGGAGAAGTAGCGTTTCCTGTAAGGCAATGGGTAGAAGGCTGGCAGTGGTTCAGTGAGGCTCCCCCTTCTTAGTTTGTTTCTCGCTCAGTTTGTATTCATCCAGAATCGCATGGCTGGTTTCTTTTGCAGTTTTTTTCACAATGGCTTTTATACCCAGGTGGTCAATATTAAATGCAGTTACTCCGACGTTGATCGCAGAATTGACGGCATCGTGAGTCGCGTACCCGGCCTCCTTTCCATACCTAGATCACAAATGAGAAGATTTCACAAATATTTCCATGTTCACATCGCCGGATGGCATTGAATTAATGCGGATCTAAACCCAACAGCAAAAATCGAATATATTGCCGATTATGAATCCTTAGATATTGTGGCTGCATTCGTTTGCTTTAGGACTTTTCCTTTATTTTCATCTGGTGATCCGGCCAGTAAGTCTGTTAAATATTAAATTTCCTTTAAAGTGCTATTAAAGTTAAAAAAAAGTCTGTTTTTTACATATATCTACTGCTAGCAAGCAGTGCAGCATGTCCCAACATTAAAAAAATGAAGTAAGTGGCCAAATATTTATTAATTTACCTGTGTCTGCACCACTACCTCACGGCTGCAGAACACAGCTTCCCGAACGCAGGAGATGATGTGCACGGGCGCATGTGCACTTCATATTACCGGATGGGAGAGGAGTTATACAAGGTAAGTGAATGAATGCACGCACGCCGGGATCGTGCACGCAGGACAGACTCTGTGGGACATAGGAAGAAATGGGAGTCGGCACAGGATCACAGACTGTCATCAGCGCTGGAGGGACTGTTGGAAACGACTGGAAGGAAGAAGATGTTCTCATCAAGAGGCATCACATAAGGCAAGTACCTACAGCGGTATTTGGGGGACATTAAAATAGCCTTTAATGTCACTTTAACAGACTAAGCTGTCCAGCAAGAAGGTTGAGACAAACCATTTAATACTGACGAGTGATTACAATGGTCAGCTATTCAGGGGCGTCCCGAGACTGGGTGCCACCCGGAGCGGAGACCGGGTGACACCCTGACGTAACGTCCCCACGCACGTGCGTGATGACATCACGCATGCACGGTCATCTAATTGACGCCTGCCGGCGGCTATCTTAGTGATGGGCGCCGGCAGAGAGAGGAGGGGATGTTCACCCAGCGGGATAAGGTATGCCGGCGGGTCCCCACCTCTCCCCTGACACTGTCACTCTCGGTCCATGACCGAGTGCCCGACTTTTTAGAGGGGCCAACACAAAAATGACTGCCAGTCATTTTGGTGTCACCCGAGTGTGGGCCGCAACCCCTTGTGATGCCACTGCAGCTATTATTCATTTATGTAAAACCTTTATCCCATGAGGACAAAAAATAAAACTGTTATGGTAACTACTTTAAAAGTGTTATCTGAAGTTTGGATTTAAAAGAACTATGGGGTAAGTGTTTTTCCCATAGTTCTCTTTAGAGTCACAGGAGGACATATCCTAACCTCCTCCCGTGACTCAAAGCTCAGTATATAGTGTGCTATTGCCCGCAATATACTGAGAGCGCCACAGCCGGGACGGATCCTGACAATACTGTCGTGATCCACCCAGCTGCGTGAGAGTGACAGCTGGCTCTGCCTATCTAGAGGCAGAGCCAGCTGTGCCCACACCAACCCCCGTTCATTCCTCCAGTCAGCGCTGGAGAATCAGAGAGAGCAGGGCAGTGTGGGAGGATAGTCACCGCTCACTGCAGGGAGACGATCGGGAAGTGAGCGCGCAACGGTATGTGTTCGCTCACTTCCCGATCAATAGAGCCGACCTGCGACAGCTTCTTTACCACAGGTTGGCCCTAACTATGAGGATGAGTGGAAATCACTCACCACATGGTTCTCCTGTAATTTTTTTGTCAAATCGATCTAATTCTGCTAATATCCACAGGGTGACAATGCTGCAAGGATATCCAAGGATATCTCCATTCCTCTTCCATAAAGTGGGGCCTCCCTGAAACAAGAAGTGTGGTACCGGCCAGATCACCAGGTAAAAATAAAAGGAGAAAAAAAAACTTAAAAACAACACACAAATGCAACCATCGCATCCAAGGATTGGAAAGCTGCAATACATTAAAACTATTGTTTTTGGGTTTAGATACATTTTACGATTTATTATGGGCACTGTTGTGCAATTAATTTGCCATATTCCTGTCCCAAAATGGGAAGAATGTTTTTGGTAAAGTTGTTTGAGCCAAATAAAAGGCAGCTATTTTGTGCTTACCCCATGGACATTGATAATGGAGTCAAAGCAATACAATAAAAATCTAGTGAGCCCTCTTGGGCTTGTCCATGGGTTATATGTGCTGCTCATTTAGGGAAAGTATTTTTACTCGATAATGTATATGAATTCTAATCTCAGTAACAAAAGATTCACTGACAGTGTTTGGTCTGCTTCCTGGCAAATGAACTGCACAAAGCACCGTGGACCTGAACACATTAGAACTGAATAAGAATTAACCAATTTCATATTTGAAGTGATAAAAATGATGATTCCTCCCCTATCCCCCCAATTACCTGGATTGAACAGAATTCCACTGTTACATGTATGGAAGCAGTACACAAAGCTGTCACACAACTGTCATACTGACACTTGACAGCCCATCCCATACAAGGGGGCTTGTGTATAAAATGTAGAAGAATGGAATGTGAATTGCCCATAACCAATCAGATGATATAGTCTGCATTTTGGTATTTGGCACACATGTTCAGCGCTGTCCTTTGATTTGAATGTGTTGAAGTACTGTACATGCAATATATTAAGCAACACAATATAATGTTGCTGTGTGATGCAATAGCACGCCAGCTATCACACAATTGGGGAATAAGCTAGTAAAGAATAGCAACGATCAAATACAAGATTATATCATCTAATCATGCCAGTGGGACAGTAAGGTGTGACATGTTCCTTTAAGATGTGTTTCTTGTAAAAGAGGAAGGACATTCATTCATACCAAAACTGTGCCCTGCTTCTGCTCAAGTATGGAATGTAGATGATAAAAATGAAATTTTGTTCAATGGAAAGCTATTTTTGTGCTAATGTAACTGTACAGCTGAAAAGAATATATCTAGTTACTATGAAGTTCTGTAGATATAAGTACACAAGTATGTATTTGTGTGTGTAAATGGCAGAATACCAACTATCTACCGATTCTATTGTTTATTATGTCTTTCTCCATGGTCAGAGAGCCTTAGGGTTACATTTGCCTGACCAAAAAAAGTCCCACACGCATATATTTTGTAGGACCACCTTTAGCTTTGATTACAGCACACATTCCCCGTGGCATCGTTTCCATAAGCTTGTGCAATGCCACAAAATGTATTTCCATCCAGAGTTTCATTCATATTTCGCCAAGATCTTGTGATGATGGGAGAGTCAGACCACTGTGTAAAGTCTTCTCCAGCACATCCCAAAGATTCTCAATGGGGTTAAGGTCTGGACTACGTGGTGGCCAATCCATGTGTGACAATGATGTCTCATGCTCCCTGAACCATTCTTTCACAATCTGAGCCCGATGGATCCTGGCATTGCCATCTTGGAATATGCCCAATGTGCCATCAGGAAATAAAAAATCCACTGATGGAAAAACCTGATCCTTTAGTAGAGGCAGGTAGGCAGCTGACCTCATTTTTGGGGACATAACATTGCTGAAGGCTCTCATCTATCTAAATCCAGGCGGTGACTTTTTTTGGCCAGGCAGTGTATAAATAAATGTAATCTACATGTTTTACAGCTTCTAGTGTCAGCACTCTGATTATTGGGCTGTTAATACCAATACCGATTCATTGCCCAATAAGCAAGTTGTTGACACAAAGATGACACAGAAAGTTACAAAGCTGAAGCAGGAACAACGGTTGCCACCTGCCTGGCTATGTGTTGTGGCAGGGGTGTGAGATTCCAAGACTTTCAGAAAAGAACTACAAATTCTTTGGCAGGTAGGTCATAATAAATATATGTTCCGTTTATTTAGTGGTCTACCTTAGCTTTAATCTAGAACATGAATAGGCAAACTCCGGCCCTCCAGTTGTGGAGCAATAACAAGTCCCATTAGGCATTTCAAAACTCTGACAGCTGCAGGCGTGACTTCCAGAGGCAGATGCATGATGGGATTTAGTGGTTTCACCATAGCTGGAGGGCTGATGTTTGCTTACCTTTGATCTAGAACAGGGGTGGCAAACTCCGGCCCTCCAGCTGTTGTGGAACTACAAGTCCCTTGAGGCTTTGCAAGATTCTCACAGCCATGACTCGCAGAGGCAGATGCATCATGGGATTTGTAGTTTCACCACAGCTGGAGGGCCTGAGTTTGCCACCCCTGATCTAGAAGATAGAGGTGCTACCTTATGTGTTTCAACTGGTCTTGCCCTTTAAAGCTTCCTAATAAGCCATATCTGAAGATGCATAAAAGTTGGTTATGTTTTGATCAGACACAGCCCAGTATGATGAAAGTCCTTCCTTTTTACGAGTAGTAGACCCAAAATAAATCAATCATTGTTTTCTCTAGATCACTGATTGTCATACTCAAATATAACATTTTGCAGCACAATGCTAACCATGAGCTGTATATGCTTTATCGTAAATAGATCTGTTGTATATAGCTGTAATCATCCACTTCATCTGTAAGCCCACATTTACCTCTGATTGTTTTGTCACGTCTTCCCCACAGCGTCAATGGTGCCTATTCACACCTTGGCGTTGTGTCACCCGTCCCTTAAAAGAGAACTAAGGAGTAAGTGTTTTTCCCCATAGTTCTCTTAAGGGTCATGGTAGGACATACACTAGCGTCGCCCGTGACCCAAAGCTCAGTATATATAGCCCGTGATATACTGAGACCGCCGCAGCCGGGACAGATCCGAACAATGCTATTGAGATCCACCCAGCTGCGTGAGTGACAGCTGGCTCTGCCTATCTAGAGGCAGAGCCAGCTGTACCCGCCCCTTCCCCCATCCATTCCTCCACTCAACGCTGGAGGATCGGAGAGGGGAAGAGAGGAATCCCTGTGGGGAGCCATGACTGACAGTCACGGCTCTCTGCAGGGAGATGATCAGAAAGCGAGCGATGGTATGTGTTCGCTCACTTCCCGATCTATTGAGCCGACGTGTGACAGTTTCATTGGTCACACGTCGGCTCAAACTATGAGGATCAATAATTTTCACTCACCTCATAGTTCTCCTTTAAAGCTCGGGTGAGAAAAAAAAATAAATCTCAACAGCAACTCAAATAACTGTTTTTTTAGTAGAGCAATGCTCAGTGCGCAGTGGCAGAATAATGACCATAAGCTCACGGTGATCACCATTATTTCAGGAGTGAACTATGTCATTCATTACCCCAAACCCAACTGTGCTGCTGGATATGAAAGAATAAATCAGCTACAGTTCTCATTAATAGAGCTGGCTAGATGAACAGCACATTGACACGTGTTTAATGGATGGTGGGTAGACTGGCCTTCTCCTACAGACTGGTCCTAAATCATATACTTTCTATCACTCTAACATAGTATCTATCCATCGATCGCAGCAGGTTAAAAAAAAAAAAAAATCCCAAAATAGGACAAACTCTTATTCAACTTTATATTCTGTACGGACCTAGCATTTGATCATACACATTTTCCTTTGTTAGATTTAAAAGCAGAACTCCAGGCACAAATTTTATCAACCCTTGTAGAGGGGCTAAACCCGCACTGCAAGGGTTAACTGCTTGTTTTTATCTAGGGACCAAAATAAGAAAAATGTATACTAACCCGATCCTAGGAGAAAGCTGGCTGTCACAGCGCTCCCTACTCTGCTGCCGTGCTGGTATGCCCCTGGGCGTTCTCACGTCCAATACACAATAGGGGCAATTTATCAAAACTGGAGCAGATGTGCACAGGAACCAATCAGCTTCGCTCTCTCATTTTCAAATCTTACCTGAGCAAACTGAAGAGAGATGCTGATTGGTTGCCATGGGCAACTGCTCCAGTTTTGATAAATTCCCCTCTGTATATAGAATGTGATGACATTCGAGGATCCTTAGATCGCAGCAGTGGAGGAGGGAGGGTGGAAGGACCGGTCTAAGAGCAAGCCGGCTCGGAGGTTCTGGAGAGTACAACTTTATTATTTTAGGACCTAGACAAAAATAAGCAGTTAACCTTTGCAGGGGGTAGCACCACTGCAACAGTTACTAAATGTTTTATCCAGAAATATTCTTTAATTCAGCAAACCCCATCTCTCCCTATCAACATATATCATCTCTTGAACCTTAGCCACTGTCACCAACACTGCTATAGAATATCCAGAACCGTCTATCAAATGGAAGATTGCAGCTATAAAAACACTACATATGTAACATTTCTACAAGTTAGCATTTTTAACAAAATGTTTTTTTAGGGTATGATGATATTTGATCCACCAAAGCTTTAATTAGGGATAAAGCGATTGATTAACATATTAAAAGTACACATAAACGGTATTCACTCAGGGTTTTGTAGCCGGAGGTTCAACAACATCAATTCCCTGATATCTAGAAGGAAAATAATTACACTTATGTTAACATTACAACATTATTAACAATATCATCTCAACCCTAAGAGATGTTCTATAGCCGAGTGAAGTTACAGCTATCGGCACATTGGTTTCAGGATTTCCATTTTAAATTGAACGTCACCATCTGCTTTGAACACCTTTTAAACGATCAGGTAAGCGTGTCCCGACATTACATACTGTGTTCAGACACTGTTAAGCCTAAAAGGTGCCCATACACCTTACAATTATCTGCAGATTTTCTGTGGTCAGATGGAAAAAGTGCAACAGATTGGCCCAGGTGGAGATTACTCCATCCACACAGTTAAGTGTAGATGGAGGAATCTGTTGCACCTTTTCCATCTGACCACAGAAAATCTGCAGATAATTGTAAGGTGTATGGCCAGCTTAACTCTCATTAAAAATAGAAACAACCTGTTCACCATCAAAGCTTTATATCTAACCATTCAGATAATGTCTCATCTCCATTTGGATCGTCAGCCTTCAATACCAGTTTTCACCAGCAGATGGTGCACTGGTAGCATAAATATACAGCAAGCCATCCCTATATAAAAGTCTGGAATTGCAGGACGTGAACCTGACCCAACTGTCACTATGCAGAGGGGGCCACAAGCTAGAAAGGGGAAGACAAACCTTAAATTATGTGCAAATACAAACGTTTTTTATATGCATTTTCTCCGTTCATCAGAAATGATTGTTACAGCCATGTTAAAATTGTACCTGTTGAGCCGTGAAGTTTTATCTGTGTATTAGCAGGCAGCACCATTTCTCATGCCACCTCTCCTCTTCTAATACAGAGGCAGACTTCTCAACTTAAAATGACAAAAGATCACAGAACTGCCTGTTGTCACTAGGAACTTTTAGAACAGTTCTGTTTCGCATTTGTATACTTCTCTTGAAAGCTTCTTTATAAAAATTGTGTATCAAAGCGGAATCCCAGGAATGATCTTCATGGATAGCTACATTGGTCGGGCTTGGCTCGATGTATTATCCATATTCAATTATATTTATTTAATCCCCAGAAGGATGCTAAAAATCACTTATTTAGATTAGTCAGTGGCTTCACCTCTGCAGACTGAGCAAAGGGAGTCACTCACTGGGCACTGCCACCATTCAGAAGAACACCTAGTATTTTTTTCAATGAATACAAGTCATTCTCTGCTTGTTGAGTGGTGGTGGTGCCCAATGAGTGACACCCTTTGCTTAATGTGCAGAGAGGAAGCCCTGTATGCAACGCTGACTAATAAGTTGATTTTCAGCATCCCCAGCAGCCCACTGGAGATGTATTATGGATAATTACATTGAGTCAAGCTGGACCAATGTCAGTATCCATAAAAGATCATTCCTGAAGTTCCGCTTTAAATCCCATGGCCACCTGTGTAAGTGATTAGCATTTATTGTGGTAATATAGAGGTGCAGTGATGATGTATGTGCACATTTTCATGACTCACATTGCAGGCCTTCTTAAATTATTATGGGGTTTTTAGTGGGCCTGAGTCCTACAAATTGAACATTTTCTCCACAGGAAACTCAATGTGACACTGGAGTCAGATTGTAAAGCAGCTGCCTCCTCCATGCGAGTCGTTGTACGAAGACACTGCGCACCAGCTCTGCCTTTCCGGCCACAATACACTGTCGGGGGGGAGGGGGGTTGCCGCTATGAATACTAATGAATAGAGGGAGATAACTCAGAGTCTTCATTTACACACACTGCTTGCAGAGCACAGGAGGTGGACATTTCAAAAGAAGCTGAATGAGATGAAAAAGGACAAAACAAGTTTCTGTGTTCATGTACACATTCTTCATATGCCTGCTTCATGTTCACTCTGTGTATATTGCTGATATTTGTTTTTTTTAAATACCTCTGAAAAAAGTTGAAAATTGGCTTTAAATACATTATCCAGTATGAAAGCTCTCAGGAATGACACCTACTTGTATTTCACGGTATGCACAGTCTCTGTGGCCACACTCTTAGCGACGTTCTTCCCAGCATACTCCAGGCCCTGCCAGACAGTTGCAAATCCTATAGATACGATGGAAAGATAAGATGGAAAGATAAGATGGATAAGAAAGATATAGAAAGATAAAAAGGTGACATGCTGGTGAATCTTAAAAGGAGAAAACAATATCCATGCTCTTGTGAATACCTTGCACACCACTAGCTGCTACCACCATAGCGCCATCCAATGGAGACTTCCCATCCTTGTCTTTCTTCAGAGATTCTGGAATTAACTTGCTGCCATGTTTCTTCACATGTGGCCCAAGTTCCCTGCCGACACAGCTCGCAATGGCACAGACGCCATCCACTACGGGAGATTTATACAATTTTTACTAATTACATACTCACACTGGTGACATATATACATTTAGGCTTCTCTCACACTGGTGACATATATACGTTTAGGCTTCTCTCACACTGGTGACATATATACATTTAGGCTTCTCTCACACTGGTGACATATATACATTTAGGCTTCTCTCACACTGGTGACATATACATTTAGGCTTTTCTCAACACCAACACAGTTGCTAATATCAACCAAAGATTTAAAATGTCTTACTCTATAATGCTGATATTTGATACTCTATTATTTTGGGGACTGAAGATATAAATCTTAAATTTGCAAAATGAAAAGTATAGATGTTACCTACCAAAAAAACAAAAACACACATTCTGTGCAAAATGTGGGAGCCACCATTGCCGAGGGCAATATGGGAGCAGCCACTGCCAACACCCCTCAAACACTAGTTGCTGGGTCCTATGTGACTTAAATATTTTCAGAGTCACTGAACTGGAATAAGCAAGCAGGTTCAATAATCAAACTGATATGAAAACTCCTGATCTGCAGGCCTGTACCTCCAAAAGCAACTGGACTGGCATGACAGCGAGGCACTTAGCATTTTAAGAAGAAGAAGTCAGCAATGGCAGCTTCCATATCCTCTCAGAAGAGACCTAAAGCTGAACTCCTGGATACATACAAGAGCCATGTGTATTGTGGCTTGAGTCTTGGTGTGTTTTGTGTATTTCTTCCAGATCTGTGCAGTGATCCAGTGTGAACATTTCCCTCTGTACAGGAACTTCCTGTAATAATATAATATGTAATATATTATGTATCTTATTTGTGTCTCACTCGGCTGTAGATCCTCAAATCATCTCTGAATTGGTGGTGACACTGTCCTTCCTTCTGGAGGGGGGGCTACTTTTGTTCCCCATGGTCCCTGTGTGTGTTGTAAAGTAGCCACCGCTCTAAGCTCGCTCCTGTGATGGACTACAATCTAATATTTAGGTTATTAATTTGCACTGAGATTGTAGTCCATCATAGGAGCGAGCTTGGATCGGTGACTACTTTACAACACACACACAGGGAGCATGGGGAACAAAAGTAGCCACCCTCCAGGACAGTGTCGGCACCAATTCAGAGATGAGGATCTACAGGCGAGCGATACACAACTAAGATACATTTTTGTTCATAGTTAGGGTACTTGAATGTATTTTTAGGATTTACCTCCTGTATTTAGTGTCATTTTAACGCACTACACCATAATACACAGGTAGTTCCCGGCTATGCGCTGGGATGAGCTGCGCCGCATGTAAGATGGCACTGCGACGCACCACCAATATTATTACTGCAAAGCACAGATGTGATAAAAGCCTTAGATTTGGTTACCGGTGTTACTTCTATGTGAATAATAATGAGATTATTTTAAATTGCATAGCTGGACTGAATGGTGTTTTCCATTCTGCCTGCAGTTCAGCTTTAATAATTTTCAATAACCCAACCAAATGATCCACCCACCCATTCATCGACTTTCAAGGCAGTTATTAAACAATAAAAGGCAAAAGCAATTATGATACCGAGCTCACAGTGCTGCTGTGGGCACATTAATAAAATAGCAATATAAACTTTGTAATTGCTGGGTTTTCCTGTTTGTCAGTATGAAAACGATATCATTAAAATCGCAGAGTAATATTGCGCACGCCCACGCTTACCAGGTGCTGCAAGCCGATATTCAGTTAGAATATTTATTACCTAGGAACTGGCTGACTTTCACTGCGCCGCCAGTGGCTTGCTTTGCCACGTGAAGTCCCTTGGCCACTGTGGGGTTGACTTCCATAGGTCTGTCCTCAGGCTGGATATGCTCTCTTAATTTTGTAGCACCCTTGTGAATGGCCTTTTCTGTCAGCTCTGCTCCTTTCACCAGGCCCCAGTTCAGCCAAGAGGCCCCTAGGTTGAAACACAGTATTAAGAGTACAATAAAAGCAATATGTTATACGGCAATCTACTGATAGTGAGAAGCCTCAGACCATGCCCCGTTCTATATCCGAGCACATGTGTTTTTATGGTGGACATTCTCATTGACACTTTGCTGATAATTGAATGTGTGCCGGACATATCTGTAGCATCTCTGGCATGTTCCACACATGTATCAGCTTCTCAAAAATTAGAATAAACCTCTCTATTGGAAGGCTTGAGAATGTGATGTCTTGTTCAAGTCACAAAATGTGTGAAATGCTATGCTCTTCATTTCTTAGTTCTTCACAGAATTAGGACCCTTTCAGACAGGTGCCTTCAGTTCTGATCAAAAGGGTATCCATGCACAGATCCCCTGCAGATCGGACCGGATGTCACCGCTGTGAAAAAAAAAACAAATGACTGGACCCATGCCGGTCTATGGGGAATCGTATTTAGATGGACATGTGTCCATTTACATCAGATTACCTCTGATCCGGCACGGTCAGGTCCATGGAAACGGAACTCCGATTCATTTGTTTTTCCGGACCTGGCTGGAGCTGGGGGTAACCGGATGTAAATTGACGCATGTTCGTTTAGATCTGGCTGCCTATTGACTAACACTGGGCTTCTGATCCGGTCTTCCTAAAACAAAAAAAACAAGCGGACCTGATCGGAATGCCCGTGCGAAAGGTGCCTTACAGTGAATGAAAGGTTTTACAATGTTTTGGCTCTTCTGTTACAGCTAAAAGATCAGGGAGGCAAGGAACTCATATGCAGACAGAACATCCGACAAGTGCCAACATTCATCAATTCCTGGAAGCCTCATGGGTCAAAACCCAGAAAAGAATCGCCTCTCTACTCAGGCTTTCCATTATAGAGTACAGTACTCCATCCAAAACTGACATGCACCAATGGATTGAATTACTTTCCAGCTTCTTACATCTCCAAAGACAAGATGTCCCTGCAGTAGTTTAGTCTACAGCAACTCCCACAAGCCCATAAAACCTCTTACAGCTGAATCCTCTATTATCCATTGATGTTAACATCATTTAGATTTGTAATGGTCAGGCTGGTAAAGTTAAAGTGTAGGATGGGGATAGCCATCCATCCATGCAAAACTGACCTGATCTGCTTTGTGTGGAAGTGACTTTTAAATAGTAAGGGATAGCTGTAATTATAACTGTACAGAATAATAGCTGCCCTTTATTGCAAAATCCACTTATCTACTATCAATCTCCATCTCTGCACCATATGGCTTTTCTGCAGGAACTTTTCCCTTACTGTAGTCACCAGCAGGAGACAAAAGGTTTACAAGTGCGAGGATTGAAGCTAGACACGGCCTGCTCTATCTCCTCCACTGAATGGCATCAGGCCCTAGCAGAGGGGTAGCCAAGCTCCGGCCCTCCAGCTGTGGTGGAACTACAAATCCCATGAGGCATCTCTCTCCGGGAGTCATGTCTGTAGCTGTGAGAATCTTGCAATGCCTCATGGGATTTGTAGTTCCATCACAGCTGGAGGGCCAGAATGACATCTTGTTCTATCACAGGGCCCAGCAGAGAGAAGGAACATTGGATCATTTTGCACTGCTTTTGAGTTTAGTATAATGTTTGATTTCCTCCTGAGCAGATCTGCAATTACCAAGTTGATAACATAAAATGATGATCTTATGCGTTACCTTGCAGAATTCCATGGGCAACTTTCTCACTCCATGGTGGCAAGTCATCTTTCTCCTTTGGTTCAGGTTCAGCCTCAGGTATAGTAACATGTACAGTCTGACTCAAGTCTATGACCTCTCCCAATGCTTCACTGGGCTAAAGGAGCAGAGAAAATAGAAGGTATTATTATGGCCATCTACCAGTTATACAAGACAAGGTGTGCATGGTCATACAATGATGGGTATATTATCCTGTTGCTGTATTCCAAGATGTGCCATCCAGAGAAAAATACCTATATACTTGGAGTCTGATACAACATAATATTCTCTGGAAGCTTTCTCAGGTCTATACATGTTGTATCGGAGGAATATATGCATTTTGTGTATCCCATGTCCCGTATAGCAGGGCATGTGCCGTGCCATGTTGCTGAGAAACATAGGAAAGTCCTATGCTCCTTAGCTTCATCTAGTGGGGGTATTGCTGTGTGAATGGCATCCACCCAGCTACACGACACACGGGGCGGATGGGTTAAACATCAGCCCCTAGATCTCTGTACAGTGACAAACCATTGGTACCCATTAGTGTTCTTTATAGAATGCCAGATCTCCGGTCCCCACTGATGTAGTTGAAAAGAGCAGCATGAGGATCCATCCACACCACAGTGCACACCTTAGCTTGCACAAGACATGCACGTGCCGGTATGGGTTTTGAATTGTGTTGCAATGTTGTTTACATTTTTAGGTTATTCCTGTGCACTGCAGTGCATTGTGACATAATGCAGCATGTTCTGATTTTTTTTTAAGCCTGCACCGATGCAGCACATTGATGTGAATATAAACCATAGAACAGGGGTATTCAAGTCTCTGACAGCCATAGACATGACTCCCAGAAACATGACGGGATTTGTAGCTTCACCACACTTGGAATGCCAAGGTTTCCTACTATTGCCATAGAACATAAGGCAGTTTGCCTTGTCCTTGTGTTGGTAATACATTGGGCAATGCATCTTTGTAGTAAAGGAATTTAGTGTTAGGTAGGAAGATTGACCAATGGATGGAACTGCAGTTTGTGTAATGTTGATGCCTGGAACACATAGACCAAGTTTACTTTCTGAGACAGAAACAATTTATATGGCAAAAAAGGCAGGTCTGGAGTAGAGGTCATATTAATCACCAAATTTTGTTGAGTTGCTGTTTTAAGTACATCTTGTCTGTTTATTTCACCCATGTGCTATGATAATATACAGTACATTTGTATTATTATATCACACACACACACACACACACTGAGTGGCCAGATTATTATGACCACCCCATCAGTACTTCGTTGGGCCACGAGATGACTTCGCTGGGCCGCCTCGTGACTCCACGAGATGTTGAAAGGTGATGCGAGGAATCTGACACTGCACTGTTGCCCTTCTGTTGTCTTGTACCAGTCTTGCCACTCTCCGTTCTGCCATAACATTGACTAGTCGCTGACGGACACAATTCGCACGTTCAGACCCAAATTTCTGTGGGAGGAAACGCCGGCCGCTCACAGCGCTCTACACCGCAGCGCTCGGCCGGCTGTCACTTTCTCTTCTCCTCGCTGGGACATAGAGCAGCGCCCAGCAGGGAGAAAAGAAATCACGGATGCGCCGATGTATCGGCAGGAAAATGGCACTTTCGGCATTATGCCAAAAGTGCCATTTTCGGCCGATATGTTTCGGCGGCCGATATATCGGTGCATCCCTACTAATTTGCCTACAAAACGTCAGGTGGTCATAATAAACTGGCCACTCAGTGTATATATACACACACACTATGCAAGGCCTGGACAAATCCCAGGAGCCAGGTAGACAATGCTCTCCAAATGTTACAGCCAGTGTCCAACATTTAAGGTTTTCTCTAGTTGTCAATGAGGCTGGATTGGACAGACTGGCTCCTGAATTCCATAAGATCTGTCCACCCCTGATATATGCATTCACTGTATATATGGATGAAAATAGACAACATGTACAATACTTAAAACTTGCCATATCTCGGTGTCAGACAAACAGGGCTGAATGTGGACATTGGACAAATCCACACGGCCCGCTTTGTTTTATAGACAACATCTTCTTTGTATTGCCCTGATTAATGCAGCAGAATGTCTCACGCAGCATAAACTGGAAAACGTCCAGTCTGGTACAGAGGAGAAAGATCTGTGCCCTTTGTTCCACAGATCAGCCATGGAGATAAATCTGTAAATAACAAGCACTGAAAACTATAGTACTGTAGCATGGTTATTACTGCAAATGTATCAGGAATCCCGACCATCTCAGAGCCATCACTAAACAGCTAAAAAAAACAGACAAAAAAAAAAAAAGGAAAAGGAAATAGATGCTAAAGGACGCAGAACAGCTTAAGAGTCCAAAACGAGTAGCTCCACCCCCGACCAAATAGCCCAACATCTAAACATTAAACATAGTCCCCAGAGAAAAATTGTACAATGAATATTACCCGATTTCCAGCACCCCTGTATATAACATCCAGGGGGTCCAGGTCAATTCAAAGCTTTTTTTAGTATCTTGGAGGATGCTGTGAAGTTTCTCATGGACCATAATCCACGACATTTTTTGTTTAACCAAGTGGAATGGAATTGTTGGCGATTTCCAAGCCCTAGCTATGGTTATTTTGGCTGCCAACAGAAAGAAGTACTTCCATGTCCTACATAATGAGGGATTCCTAATACCGGCTTTTGTTGGGTTGGGAGCAGACCAATGTTATGTTGTATCAGACTCCAAGTGCTTCTCCTAGACACTTCTCCTTCAATGTTTTAGTCCTATGCAGGTTATTTAGGCAGCCATGCAACCCTTCCATACCAATGGTGATTATGTTATTTTTGAATTTGCCAAGAAAAAGGAAGGGTTGTTTTGATTTTCAACGTGGCTTGATTGGTTAGGTAAAAAGTAAAGGGGTTCTTCAAAAAAGTTGATCCATCGTATTACCTTTGGCTCCAAGAACAAATGCATAATGTTTATTAGATGTTCAGTTAGGTCTCATGCACACGGGGCGTTTATATGTGTCTGGGGTTACCTACGGCAAGAACCTGCAGATTCTTGCAGCAGGAATCCGGGGGGGAGGGACTTTTCGGGCTCTATCTCTAAGGTGAAGAAAACCCTGCTCAGATTTGTCATCATTGCTGTTAGAGCCTTAAAAGGAGAACTATGCGGTGAGTGCTTTTCACTGAACCTCATAATCTGAGCCGACCTGTGACAATGAAACTGTAACAGGTCGGCTCAGTAGATCGGGAAGTGAGCGACCACATACAGTCGCTCGCTCACTTCTCGATCTATCCCCGCAGGTGAGCCGTGACAGGGGAGTGACTGGATTCCCCCCTCCCCTGTCCGATCCTCCAGCACTGACCAGATGGGGGAGGGGGCGGGTGAAGATGGCTCTGCCGCTAGATAGGCAGAGCCAGCTGTCACTGACGCAGCTGGGCGGATCCAGACATAATTGTCGGGATACGTTTCAGCTGCGGCGTCTCATTATACCGCGAGCTGCAGTTCGCGATATACTGAGCTTTGGGTAACGGGAGGACGCTGGTGTGTGTTCTCCCGTTACCCTTCGGTGAACTATGGGAAAAAGCCCTAACCCCATAGTTCTCCTTTAATACCACGGAATTGGAATTCCCCTGTCGTTCCCTCGGTTTCTGAGTGGACAGCGGACATGTGTCGACTGATGAGATCTGAGGCGCTAATTGCAGAATGAGCTGACCGATCTGATACCTTTATGGCCAGATGGATGCCCTGGATTTTGTTCGTGGATACTGAGGAGTTTCGGTCTCTAAGCGGAGTTCACATAGGTCTCCCTAGTACCCCAGCAACTGTGGGGGTGATTCTGCATGCTGCTTGGCGGGTACTCCTCCCCCCCTACAAACTGAAGCAGTGAGCGGACATCTCCACCTCCCCCCCCCTGCTTAGATACTAAAAGCCTAAGGCTAGCTATACAAGGCTTGAATTCCTGCTGAATCAGGTGAATTTTGGGCCATGGGTGGTCCTGCTGGCACCACCTGAAGCAGCCAAGTGGAAATTTCATCCAATCAGTTGTACTCCCTGCTCAGGTATTCAGAAGGCGGCAGGTGCCAGCTGTGGAATTCATAGCTGGAATGGGAGATTCCTCTCATCCTTGATTTTTAGCACGGATATGGGAATCAAGTGATTCCTCTCCTTCAGTCCGCTCGGCTGAATGAATGAGAAATCTAGCCATGTATGGCCAACTTTGAAAGTGTACCGAACCCTTGTGACTCAATAAGTGCAAGGCTCACATTTTGATGATCAGGTTTTAAAGCTGGCCTCCTTAAACTTTTTCCACTCGTGACCCTGCGCGACCCACACATTAAGAAGCCCTGTTCCGTTTTAAACAACTGACACCTATGGTGACTTCCTGCTGACTCTACAGTCCCCATGCAATGGTCTGATGTCGGTTTTATTTACCTGGATTCTCAGGTCTGACATTTGTTTCAGAAGATCTTCAAACAGCTCCAGGTCAGCAGCAGGCAGCTCGGCAGAGAGTACCACCCCTACGTAGGACCCTGGGGCCTGGGACATCAGGTCTGGGAACATGTAGACCCCCACGTTAGAGCGGAGTACAGGGGACTGAGTGCACATGAGAGGGTACAGCCAATCACACACCTGCCAAAAGAAAAAAAACACAAATGACCATGTTATCTGGAAGACAGTCACGGTACAATCTGACGCTGCATACAGTGAACACATAGACTGACCAGAAAATGCATTACACGGGATCACCACTCCCACCCCTTTCATTTAATGCACAAGGACAGCCTCCGATTTTAACCACCTTGCTGCTTTTATCTGTCCTTCTGGGAACACCAATTGTTAAGCCATGAGAACATGCAGTCCAGGTGTTCTCAGGTCCACCCACTGGATGCTCATTCCACTACTGCACATGGAGTATACCGCTGGCATAGAGATACGATTATATCTCTATAATGAATGATAATTGGATATTTATATTAGCAAATGTCTGCTAGGGACTGCGCAGGATGTTGGAGACTCTACTATGTAAAGTGATACTAAAATTCAGTCACGAAGGGGTTAAGTTAATTCAAATGCTGATGAAATCACTTACAATGGTTGCTGCTTCTTGATGTTTAAAAGTTTTAGTTTCCTGCAGAATCAGCCGGTTCCTGATCAGTGGTCCTGATATCCTGTTTTAGGGTGGCTTCTTTCCCTATAGAGCCACCCTCTGACCCTTGTGATCTTATACTGGACAGGAAGTTCAGGGAAGCAGAGCTGAGAGAGTTGGAGCCGTTCTGCAGCATGATGACTAAGTGCTTGGGCAAAAATGTAAGGAAATACTTTGCTGGGCAATGGGTATCTGTCTGATCCGGATTCATTATTGAAAAAAAGGTCTGAGAGTTTAATAAATACTTCAACACTCTATTTTATTATTTTGCTGTACACATT